TCACAATGTCATTTCCTGCCATGTCATGACCTGAACAATACCATATTGTGTTAATGCAATTTTAAACTGTGTCACTTTATTCGTCAGTAAGAAATGTGATGAATCGTCAGCACTAATACTTTTATGTGCAAAACCTATCATTTGTCTGCTTGTTTATCTTTCAGAGTGAGGAGGATATAAGTGTTAAACAAGCGCAGTTTCATCAGCTTGCTCGGCTGCTTGCGCTGTAGCTCCCCAGCAGGGGTAACCTTTCTTGAACTCTATTGAAGTGTTGTCGGTTTTGTATATTATTTTTTCGGCGTGTTTATTTGCACTGGTGACGATCTTTGATGCCCAGTGTATGTAATCTGTTGTCTTCTTATGCTTTATTATCATAGTGCCGAACTTTGATGCCCAATGGATGCAATATGTCGTAATTTATTTATTGTATAGTCTAGGTTTTTTCTTATTCACGATGCTGCAGTTATTTTAATGTATATATATCCTGTCTTCGCAGTAAACCGGCCAAACCATAAAATTATGGTACATAATCGGGCCGTCATGCAATCACGATGTATGATCCGCATCATGGGCCCCGTCAGCTTGGTCCGTTAAAAGGCCTAAATGTAAACTGGCCCACTAGTAGATTCGGGCCTTTAATAGGCCGACTAAACCGCCGGCCCTCTTTTCGCAAGAAAACTTAATGGGCTTTTAGGAGGCTGAGAAGTAGGTTGGGCCTGAAACGTGCTGAACAGCTCACGGGTCGACAGCAGCCCGAAATGGACCCTGGCCCATGATTGTGCGAATCAAATCACGGGCTTTTAACAGGCCAAAATTGTCTCGGTCCTTGTTTGGCCCAATCAGATTATCGGTTGCGAGCAGGCCGGATGCAAACCGGGCCGTAGTTAGGCCCAACTATATGACGGGATTTTAACAGGCCGATATTAATATAGATCCGAAATATTAAACGAACCCTTAACAGGCCGAAACTAATATCAGGCCGAATTACTAAATGGGCCTTTAGCAAATGGTCCCAAAAGCATAGTGTCCAGTTGACGGGCCGAATCTGGTATGGGCCATAATTTAGCCCAAAGCCTCTTAAAGGGCCGGACCTGATCTGGATCGTAATTTTGCCAAAAACGTGGTAGGCTTTTAATGGTCCAGATCTCATATGGGCCATTATTAGGCCCGAAATGTGGCAGGCCATTAATGGACCGGATCAAATATGGGCCGGCATTTGGCCCAAGACATGGCAGCTAGTTAATGGGCCGGCGTACTAGGGTCATCAAAATCTTGTGGGCCTACAGCTGGGTCGGCCCATTAATGTTGGCGAAATCTCGAGGGCCTTTAGCTGGGCTGGCCCATTATGATCCGCAAAAATCTTGTGGGCCTTTACCTGGGCTGGCCCATTATGGCCCACAAAAATGTAGTGGGCCTTTACATGGGATGGCCCATTATGGCCCGCAAAATCTTATGGGCCTTTAGCTGGGCCAGCCCATTATGGTCCGCAAAATCTCGTGGGCCTTTAGCTGGGCCGGCCCATTATGGTCCGCAAAATCTTGTGGGCCTTTAGTTGGGTCGGCCCATTTAAACTTTATGGGCCACTTTTGGACCGGCCCACGTGTTAACATATCATAGGCGCATCTCGCCCATTGGATGAGTGACACCTGTGCCACCGCGGAGCTGACACGTGTTTCCTCCGGTCAGTGACGATTTTGCACGCGGAAAATCCCCATTGGTCCGGGGTTTTAACGTGTTATCGGATCCAAAACCAGACCCGATAATTAACGGCGTTCCGTTACGGTGGATGTCACGTGTCGGTCAGCCTTGACGAAAGCACTTATGTGACACGTGATTTATCGTCATGGAAGTGGACACCTCCATGATGATAATTTTGGTAATGTCTTGGAACACTTCTACGACAACACAGGTATGACTATCTTGATTCTGTCATAAAATCGTCATGGATGTACATGCATGACAAAAACGCGACCTACTGTGACAAACACGTATCAACACGGAAGTGTATTTTTTTTGTAGTGGGCGAGAACGGCATGTATACATCGTTGGAGGAGGAAGAAAGGGTGGGAGAAAGAGGATGACAAGTGGGCCTCCGTCAGTCGAATAATTCAGTCAAACGTCGTTTATTTTTTGCTTGCCATGTCATCGCTTACACTGGGACCCAGCGATCCGTTCTAGTGTCAAACGACTCTAATGGAGCCATAAGTGTTTTTTTGCAAATTATCGGTACAATACCGGTGGGTATTTGGAAAAAAAGGAACTCGATGGTTTTTTCATTTAGGGTTAAAAATTGTGGTGATTTTTTTCAATTTACTCGACGGTGCCATCTGTTCCGATGGGTCGTGGGTGTGCTTCACGGGGCTGTGAGGTCGAACCGAGACAATTTATGGGTGATGTATAATCTGCAGGTAGCGATTACAATCGTGATGCAATTACGATCAGTAGATACTTTCCTAGTGTGCTTCCATTAAGTTTTCTCTTTCCTTATTTTGACGTGTTTCTCTTTCCTTTTTTAGTACATAGATATTTTTACGGAAAGGCTAACGCCCACACGTATGGGTGTTTGGCAACTCGCCCACACGTATGGATCCTCGTCTAACCACTTCTGCATGAATCCTGGCGTGTTCTAGCTGATTTTTTATGCCACGTAGGACTGGGCTGATGTGTGGGCATTCATATGATCGCCCACACGTCCGTTTCACCACACGGAGTGGCTGGGGTGTGGGCGCTAAGCAGTTCGCCCACACGCTAGTTTGCACCCACGCAGAAGGGATGGTGTGTGGGCGTTTATCAATTCACCCACACGCCCGTCTCTTCTCCCACGCCCAAAGTTGTCAGTTGTCATGTGTGTTGCAGCGTACATAGCAAATGCCCGAGCGTGCTTGTAAGCATATGGCAACTCTTTCTTTTTACCTCGAGTTGCCATGTGTTCTGCAGGGTACATGACAACTGCCCTAGTTGCTTCTAAGAAGATGGCAACTCCCTCTTTACCCGAGCATGTTTTTTTAGACGGCAACTCCCTTTTTCGTAGTACTACATGGCAACTGCCTAGTGTTAGTAGGTGGCAACCTCTAAAGTTTTTCAAATCATGGCAACTGTAGTAGACCAGACCATACATGGCAACAGCTGCAGTTGTCCAAAAATGGCATCTGGCACTTGACCTGATATGGCAACTGCAGTTGAGCAACCATGGCAACTGTAGTTCAGCAACATGGCAACTGCAGTTAAACGAACATGGAAGAGGGTCCGGACCTTGGCAACTGCGGGAAAGCGTGATGACTGTCGCACGGAGCGTGCGGAGCCGTAAGTACGGGCGTGTGGGCATTATCGATTTTTCCCAGCATAGGTGTGTGAGAGGGACCGCAAGGCAAAAAAAAAAGACGTGGGGCATTACTTGTTTTGCCCACACATAGGCTTGTGGGCTGCTTCACTTAGACACCACACAAAACGTGTGGCCAAACCCTTTAAAGCCCACACATGTGATGGTTATCCGCGTCCTATTTTTATGTTTCCTAATTATATCTCTGGAAGATCCTGTACGTGGTCATGACTATCGCCAGCCTATAGCATCTCTTCTTTAATACAATTTTTTAGGTTATGTTTTTGTAATACATAGTACTCCCTTCGTTCCAAAATTCTTTTCTTACATTTGTCTAAATATGGATGTATCAAGTCACGTTTTGGTATCAGATATATTCGTATCTAGACAAATCTAAGACAAGAATTTTAGGACGGAGAAAGTATGTACATACACGTGACAATGTGATGATTTATTGTGTTGTTACATATATGTATTAGCATGTTACATGAAAACTTTAAATCTTAGCCATTATTTTTCTAATCAGACGGTGCAAACAATATTAGCACATGTGAACGAACATGAAGGTTTATTTGTCTCTTGTTTTAAGTAGTAGTATATAATAGATAGATTTTATATATACTAAACAATGTGTACATGCAATGCACGTTAATTTGGAAGTATATTAAGTGCATGTGAATATTAAGTAGGATATTTTTTGCGTGTTATTATGTGATTAGCATTATATTTGGCATGAAATTAACTGCATGTTAAACGTGTTGAACGCTCGACATTGAAGCAGTCTAGGTCATTGGATTGACATGATTTGATGGCTGAGATTAATTGGATCTGTCCCTTTGAGGTCTTTTATATTGGTATAGATATAACTGAAAATCTCTTGTCCTATCAGTGTGAGGTCTATTTGACCAATGCTAGCTTGAGATCAGAGGGCTTCGTCAGTGGGCCTGCAACACAACCTCAAAGCCCACCTGTCAACCACTACAAATTTCAGATGCCTCAGCGTTGGTCTAGACCACCACGCATAAATTTGAAGAAGACTCGGGGAAATCGAAAGATCGTTTACCGAGCAAGGAGTCGTGTGCTCGTGGTTGAAGATGGAGTAGAGCAGTGAAGCCAAACTTTTCCATACTCGGAAGAGACGGCGGCTACCACGATGGAGAAAGAGTTATCGACGAATATTAGACGACAGTAAAGCGCCTTCGTCCTCAATGACGGTGGGAATTTTAGTTTCCCGGATGCATACGATATAATTCAACAGATTCGCCGTGAGCACCAGATCCTAGCGAAAGAGGAGGGGTGATTCATTGGGTTTGCCCATAAGCGAGGTGGCCTCCCCGAAGAAGTTGCCGCTGCCGGTGCATCACCTGCTAGCAAATCCACAAGGAAAAAGAATATCGAATGATAAGTGTCACACATGTGGCACGAAGCAATCCAGTCCTGCCTTTTTTACAACTAAAGTTATCATCTGAAAAGAAAAACAAACAGAAACTTGTCATCCAGAAAGAAAGTGCCCATGCTTATAACTAAAGTTAACATTCTCACTTAACTAAACTTCTCATCAAAAATATTCGGAGTTGACATATGTTCATGCCATGCGTATGGCACTTATGAGAGTCCAAAAATATATAATTCACACCTTATGGCAAATGCAGTAGCAAGTCAACATGGAAACAACGATCTTTCATAGGTATACAATCGCCAAAGCTAGGGAGATTACAAGCATCAAGTAAAACACATATCCCATGCCACACAATCTCAATGTTCTGACGGCTATGGAAGAAATTTTTCTATATTCTGATACGTAAGATTCGAAAACACGTGTAGAACACTCGTGTAACTCCTGGTTTTTCTCTCTCATGCTGCGCTCTAGTCTCTTTTTCCTCCACAGATCTTTTAAGAACTCACCATCTCCGTAGAGGTAACTGCTGACTGTGAATGTCAAGTGTTTTTTGTCTGGGACGAAATAAAATAATCCGGTTTCAAAGCGGCGCTCTCTGTACTTTGCAATTGCCCTCTTTATCGTGCGTGACAGTTTTTCAATAATTCCGTAATTTTCTATATAAACCGGCCATGAATTGATCGACCACACATGAATCCAGGCAAAAATCCTCCATCTCTCGTTACGAAGCTCCAATTCATGGTGCAGTGCCGTTGATTTAAGTACAGCTGCAGGTTTAGCCAATGCCCTCATGCCATACTCGTCACGAACACATAGCCTGAACGTCTTCTTTGGCCTCATAACCATGTGGTCTTTTCCATAAACCAGAGATCCAACCTGTTGTTTCACAATAAATAAGAACGTCTTCGTCGGAATCTTCGGTTGGCGTTTGATCCTGGGTATGGCATGAGCATCGTAAATTAATATCCCATGATCTCTCGAAGAAAACAAAACCCTTACGAGCTAGTAGTATACGCGAGTAAGAAAAAAAAAGTGTACTAGAGTATACATGCACGAACATCTAAAAAATATATAGAAGCACAAATAAACAGCCCTCGTTCGTATGTACCTGCAGCTGCTGTCGAAGGTAGTAGTCTTCATCTGCGTCATGCAAAGAACCCAGCGAATCGATGGAGGACTAATTAGGTAGCCCTCGTCTACTAATACTCCTGCGCGTGGTAGGTTAGTTTCTTTTTGGTTGGTTACTTTTCCTACTGTATATACTAGTAGTATAATCATTGGACGTGTACGCACAGGAAACTGAAACTGGAGACCAACGTACACACGCACGCCCGTGGCGCATCCAAACAGGAGACCCACATGTACGCCGTGGCCGATACCAATAGGACCACCGGAACAGCACACGCGCACGTTGATATTTTTTCTAAATACAGTATACAATCAAAATCGACCATGTACATGAGTATACATTCATTCCTATGAACGCAAGTACACGCATCTTACTCATATGAACACCTTCGAGAGACTGAGTTGACGTGACATCTTAAAATTGACAAAGTAACCGCATGCGCCTCGTAGACTGAACGAACATTGTCACAAAGTCTAAAATAAATTTAGAAAAATATGAGCATTAGTGTTAAGTTTAGAACAGAAATCTTGATAGACGAGATATAGCTATCCTTCTAACTATCCAATCATATGTTGCGCATGTTGATATCGACATCAACACACGGGCGCGGAAACTCTTATCTTTGAAAAGGGAATACCCCGGCATGTGAAATCTCAGGTGATGCACTCAGCCATAAGGGTGCGGGAGCTCGTAGGGGGGCACGCACTTGCTGAGCCATGCCGGCAGCCCGATTGCCTCATCGAGAATACATGAAATTATTTTACCACATGGCAAGCGTAAAAAAAGAGAGTACATGAATTTTTATGGGAAATATTGTCTAGCTGACGTTTCCTAGGGGGGAAATCCCAGCTAATGCCTTGGTTGTCGCCCGATTGCGCAGCACAGAACCTGACGCAAGTTGGTTGCCATGTCACACTAGTTTACCCGTTCGCTCCCTAAGCCAAGCACCGAAACATTTTTTCTGTGTATAAAGTCATCTCCAATTGCAACTCGTAAAAAACCTCTCGCATCCGTCCACGAACAAGGAGGACCAGTCTGAGGACATGGAAGCGGGAGGTCGACATCCAACGCTAGTCGTACACATTTTAACCTATCTTTTAACAAAACGGATGAAATTTATACAAACACGGCCGGATTTCGTACAATCATAATGAATTTCATACAATCACGATGGATTTAACTACATTTTGAATATTTAGAAAAAAGACCGTCCCCTAAACCTATCCTGAGGCGGCGGCCGGCTTGCGTCCAAAACCATGTCGTCCTCCTTCCGCCGTCTCCATGAGCACTGGCGATAAGACTGATGAAGTGAAGGTGCGGCCTCCGACGAGGAAGAGTATAACACGAGAGACGGAACGGGCCACATGGGACACAGACCCCACCGCCTCCCGTGGCCTACTCATCCTCGAAGGAGTCCATGCCTTGCCCGTCACTGGTGGACGTGAGGTCCACGAGAGAAATGGTGGCGCCTTGGCTGTCGTCGTCCCACCGGGCCGGCTGATGGTTCGTCGACGGCGCCTAGGAGGCGCAGCTGGCGTTGTTCTCCTCCGCGATCGTCTGCAGCTGCGCCTCCGCGGCTGCCGCTTCCTGTCGAGCGGCAGCTTGAGCGTGGACAACATCATAGATGGAACACTGCTCCATGAAGAACCTTGAGTTCATCGCAGCCACCGCCTCCTCGCTCGCACGCTCGCCGTATATCTGGCCCTCTTCCAGCCGGTGTTGCTCCAGGAGGAACAGGTTGTACCCCTGTTCCTCATGTGGCTGCTGGAACACCGACAGAGGCGCCAACGTAGTCTGCACCTCCGCCATGGCGGTGTTGAACTGCGCCTGCGCCTGCTCCATGGTGAAGCCGGCGTGCACAGGAGGCGCGGGAGCCGGGAAAGAGTCGTCGGAGCCCGGCTCCATCATGGTGTCGTCGAGACCTCGGGCAAGCTGGCCAGCAAGCCGGCCTCGATCCGCCTGACACGAAGGCTATGCCAGGCGGCAGCAAGGGCGTCCACCACGTGCTTCATCTCCGGCGACAGACTGTCCCATAATGCTTTCACGCTGTCGGTGTCAAAACCGGCAGATCTCAGATAGGGGGTCCCGAACTGTGCGTCTAAGGATCGAAGGTAACAGGAGGCGGGGGACAGGATGTTTACCGAGGTTCGGGCCCTCTTAAAGGAGGTAATTCCCTACTTCCTGCTTGATTGACTTTGATGAGTATAGGGGTTACAAGAGTTGATCTACCACGAGATCGTAATGGCTAAACCCTGGATGTCTAGCCTGTATGATTATGATTGCCTCTACGAACTAAACCCTCCGGTTTATATTGACACCGGAGGGGCCTAGGGTTGTACAGAGTCAGTTTACAGAGAAAGGAAGATACATTATCCGAATGCCAAGTTTGCCATCCACGCAAAGGAGAGTCCCATCCGAGCACGAGGGAGTGCCTTCTGTCTTGTATCTTCGCAGCCCATTAGTCTGGCCCATGTAACATAAGTCGGCTCTCCGAGGACCCCATAATCCAGGACCCCCTCAGTAGCCCCTAAACCGGGCTTCAATGACAACGTATCCAGCGCGCAGATTGTCTTCGGCATTGCAAGGCGGGTTCCTTCTCCGAATACTCCAAAGCAGTCTTCCGCACATAAGAGATGTATCCGGCTCTGTTTAACAATTACAACCCTAAGTTCTAGGGGCAAAAAATACTCAAAACAACTGGCAACTTTTTCGGCGAGGCATTATGCCCCGGCCTTGTTATTATTCTGAACCGTTTTACAGCCCTCGCTTCGCGTTTCGAGGCACGACCATTTACACGTCTTGTCAAAGAAGAGATCGTGTCCCCTTATCACGACATTCTCATCAATGCGGGTTTGGGTAATCTAACCATGCCGTTCACACGTCCCCTTGGGAATAGGCGAGGTTTAAGGCTTATGAGGGGGCGCTTGATATTCACTGCCTTTATAAGAGGATAATGACCCATCTCTGCACCTCACGCCTTCTTCTTCCTCTGCCCTTCCGTCCCCGAGCTCCAGCGCCCAAGCTCTAATATTTCCCTTCACCCCAACTCCTCCAACTATGGCCAGATCCGGTTCTCAGCGCAAGTGGATGGCCTCCTCCGTGACATAGAAGGACATCAAGGATCTATGTGAGGTGAGGTACTTGACGACGGAGATTACACACAGGATTCCTACCCCGGGGCAGGTCATCCCCACCCCAGAGCCCGGCAAGAGGGTGGTATTTATCCCCCACTTCCTCCGAGGACCTGGGTACGCCCTCCATCCCTTCGTCCGAGGTCTCATGTTTTACTACGGGCTGGATTTCCATGATCTGGCCCCGAATTCCTTCCTCCACATCTCGGCGTTCATCGTCGTGTGTGAGGCATTTCTTCGCATCCCCCCACACTTTGTCCTGTGGCTCAAGGTTTTTAATGTGAAGCCGAAGGTGGTTGACGGCTAACACGCCGAGTGTGCTGGCGCCATGGTGAGCAAGCTCAACCCTGTTACCTGGCCTAAAGAGACATTCGTGGACACTATTAAGGTATGGCAGAAGGAGTTGTTCTATATCACCGAACCTCGCGGAACCAAGTGGGTGGCCGCTCCTGCTTTAAGATCCGGACCTCTGCTGTGGCTCGCGTCCTGGACCAACAAGGGTCTAGACTGGGGATCCTCTGACAAAGTATTGACGCTGAAAAAGTGTATCAAGAATATGATAGAAAAGGACATCACCCTTGCTGATGTGGTTCAGGTGATGCTTATCCGCTGAGCTCTTCCCTGCCAACGACGACCTCTCAAAATGTGTGAGTTTAACCCGGAAGGGCCACGGACCCTGTAGCGATTCTTTGGTATGACGCACAAAGGGATCTGGAAGCTGCTCTTCAAGAGGCAAAAGACGTGGCCAAGGACGTCTGACGACACCGGTCTCGACTGCAACAATCCGGCATCCCCAGTATGTATCATATTTCCGAACATAACTTCACTCGTCAATCTTAGGGATGGGTACTGAAAATTCCATCCCCTGAATAGGGCTGGATAAAGAAGGCGGAGCAGATCAAATGTCCGGCCCCGCTCCCCGAAAAACCAGCTGAGCCTCTGTTGATGATGGTGTTGGTCCCGGCGCCCTACCAGGAACCGGTGAAGAAGGACAAGAAGAAAAAGAGCAAGGAGGCCGAAGGTGGCCTCCATCACGAAGAAACTTCGGGCGCTATGTCCTGAGGGACCGAGGCTCCTCCCTCTCACGAGGGAGACGAAGACGAGGACAAGGATGAGGAGGAGGAAGAAGAGAACCCTCCTCTCAAAGGGAAAAAGAGTGCAGCCTCCGTAGACCTAGAGGAGGTGGCGTCTAAGAGGGGAAAGATATCCCTCTCGGACGACTTGGATTCGGACACCGAAGCTGTCCCCTAGCACCGCCCCCGAGCCAAGCCCCTTGCTGAATCGTAAGTACCTTAGGATGCCTTACATACATCCAATATTTTACAATTTGTAAGAATAATATCAAATCATGTGTTTCAGTCCGGCCCATGATATCCCTCAAGAATCATCGTCCTTGGGGGATCTTCCGCCGGATATGATTGAGAGCAAGACGCCTCCACAAGCTTCCCCGCCTCCTAAGGCTCTCTGTGCTTCGGAGAAGTGCGGGAGAGGACCAAGACGGTGCGAGAGGATAACGCCTTGGCTGCCGAGAACATGAGGGGTGCAACCCTCATGGAGACCGGCGACGGGGGTCTTGGATCATCCGCCCCTCGGCTAGATACTGTTCCGGAGATACAAACGGCTCCAGAGTCGAATCAGTATCCCCCTCTGAGGGAGGGGAAAGTGGCTATTCTGGCGGCGACCTCTACTAATGAGGAGGCGCCGAACATGCTGATGGACGCTCTACAAAGTGCGTCCATCTTGGAGGAGCATCTTACGTTAATGGGTACGGTGGTTGAGAAGATTCAGTCTGCTAAAAGCGGGCTGAATGAAGCCTTCACGATCCTACTAACAGGCTTTGCGGTATGCAATCTAATGTTTTTAGCCACTTTCCATATGCAAAATATGCA